TTTGAGACAATTTTCATTCCCGAAGCTTTGAGTCAACGACCGGAGGGCTATGACGGTCCCATAATCCTCACGTTTGACAATCACACACACACACACACACACAGACACACACACACACACACAACCACTAAAACACATACCGATCGGGTGGGCAAGTGGTCAGCGATGGCACAGGTAGGCAATGGTAGGCAACGGTAGGCAACGGTAGGCAACGGTAGGCAACGGTAGGCAATGGTAAGCAATGGTAGGCAATGTGATTGAGTCCAAGCATTGAATGTGAATGCTTTCAAAGCTTGCATTCAAACAAAGAGTTAGACCGGATGTGAAAGAGGGGAAAGTCGTGGGGAAGTTCGTGAATGCGTCAAAAACAGAGTGGGAGAGAGAGTCTATAGGAGAGTCGTTGGGGAGGGTTTTATTGGCAAAATAGCTGAGTTATAGTATTTAGATTAGCGAATAATTCAATAATTTATCGCATATTTTAAATAACTGTGCAGTAATGCAAATATTTGTAACTTAAAAATATATCCAAATCAATAATAAAAAGCAATACAGTAATTACGGCAATATATGATTCCCTTTATAATTCCCCTGTAATGCAAAACATGAATATAAATGTGAATTTAATTATTTTTAATTAATAAAATACATATAATTTATAAAATTAAATAATTATATGATTAGATAATTAATAAAAGCTCTACACTTTTACAAATAATTTTTAAGAAATATATTGACAAATATTATTATGAGTTAGATCACAGAAAAAATATTTATTAAAACATTCAATTTAAACAAATTTCGATTTGTATTCAAATTACACTAAATTTTGTTTATTATATCACACACAAAAAACTATTGTTATTCATATTAGACTAATTTTGCCATTATATCACATCACTCTTGGTTGTAGTCTCGCTTCCAATATTCACAATACAAACAAATGAACTTAAGGTTTGCCAACTCTTCCTGTGTCTGAAATTAAATAAACAATATGAAATAAATTGAAAAGTTAAATATTAAAATGGATTACTTTGGTGTCCAAAGTTGGAACGCATTGTACGTGAAACCATTTGCTGCATTTGTCACATTTGATTGAATTACTACTTTTCAAAGCAGTTTCACATACCATACACCATTGTTTACAAATTAATTTGAAATCAGATGTTTTATTAACTCGTTTGGTTTCAATTTCTTTGTCTTAGGACTCTTTCCAGGAGTGAATTCAGGACCATCTGTCCTTCCAAATGATTTGGTTGGTGTTGTGTTAGTTTGTGAAGTGGACGGGATGTTAAAATCATCCTCAGTTTCTAAACGCCGAGGTGCGCCACGTCCACGTCCTCGCCCACGTCCTCGACCACTTCCACGAACACTTTGACTCTTTGCTAAAATATGGAATTAACTTATATAACTAATATTTGTAATATTTTTACATTTATATTACATTGTTTTTGTTCATTGGCTTCCTTTGCTCTGGTCAGTACTTGAGTTATTGAGTTAAGAAAGTGTTCTGATGTCAGGGTGTTTGGAGACGGATTTAAAGACTCGACCAAATTGAAGATATCTTCATATTCAGTGATACCATTAAATATCACTCCAGTGAACAGTTTGTCGTCTTTAATCTGGTCCGGCCTTCTATTTATGCCGTCGGGAGTTAACATACCACTCATCTCAAAAGCTTTGATTAGCCACGACTCGTCTATTTCAGACCAACACATCTCAAGAAGTTTTGACAGATCTGATTTGTCAACCTTTGGTTGTTTGCACAGCAAATTCCTTGTTTTAAGTGCCAATTTGCTCTTCAAAGCACCGAAGAAATTTAAATCCTAATATACATATTATATGTTAATATCTAGTGTGGCAAAATCATAGATAAACACTTACTAATGGTTGTATTAGATGCGAACAATGAGCCGGAAATGTCAACAATTTTATGTTGTGTTTGAGCGCAAGCAATTTGATATTAGTCCCGACGTGTGTGCTGTGATTGTCAAACGTGAGGATTATGGGACCGTCATAGCCCTCCGGTCGTTGACTCAAAGCTTCGGGAATGAAAATTGTCTCAAACCATTTCTCAAAGAACTCACTCGTGATCCAACCACATTTGTTGTGATAATATTCACATTCGAAACCCATTGCTTTATAATCTTCGGGAATACCTGTCTTAGGCATATTCCGGAAAATGAGTAGTGGTTTCATTAGTCTTCCCGCAGCGCTGCCACAGGCAAGCATTGTTGTGTACTCGCGTTCTTTAATTAGATTTAAAGAAACAGGGCGCTCACCGCGTGGACAAAACACTATGAGTCTTTGATTGTTTAGACAAATCCCACTCTCATCGGCATTCCATAGAATGCGTGCAATCAATTTTCGATCATTGGGATCATTAATATTAAGTCCGGTCAACCGTATGATCTCACAAAACAAATCGTAAAACAATTCGAAATTCTCACGGGTTGGTTTGGTTGCGCGAATGAAGTCTTTATATTTGGAATTACGACGAGACAACACATCTTCATGTCGTTTGCTGAAACTGTAAACCCATGGACGCCCTGGCCCAGTATAATCATTGTTTCCGGTTTTCCGTTTCACGAATTCATTCACTTCCCTAATTAATTATTGATAATTTAATGTTGAGTACAACAAAGATTTTATGTATTTACAATTGGATGTTTTTGTTGTCCATTGGGAAACCGACGTAATGTTTGAAAAGGCAAAGTTGAACTACCATTTCTTCTTCGTCGGGTGTTAACAAGTATTGTCGGCCAATAGCACCAATTTGTTCACCAGTTGACAAAGCAAACAAATGATTTCGAAATGTCATTTCATTAATGTTGTAGTTTTTTGCATACGGTGCCATCATTACTACAGGCAAATTAGTAAATGCATGCCTAACAATTTCATTGTTTTCATCGAGACCTCCATCGCTTCGATAAGCTCTAATGGCTTGACACATAGAGTCGTTGGCATTTCCGTCTTTTGAATAGTTCTAATGTATATAAAGTATAACACATTATATTATATGTATGAATTGGAGTGTACTACTATTATTACTATGTCTACACAACTCTCTTCTTTTCTATAGGAGTGTACTACTAATGTTGCTATGTTAACACACTTCTCTCCCTTTCTATAGGAGTGTACTACTATTATGACTGTGTCCACACACCTCTCTCCCTTTCTACAGGACTACTATTATGTTTGCATTAAATACAATTATCTGGCGGACTAATTTATTATGTAACTTAAAAACTTAATTCTAAACTAAACTAAACTAAATTCTAACTTTATATTGTTTATACAAGAGTATAAAGTGAAATAACTTTTAAACCATCAATTGGATTTCAAAATGGATTTCATATTCTTAATTAGCGTTAAATTCTACATCGAATGGATATATTACATTCATAAATTACGTAAATAAATTATTTTTGAACAAAAAGTTCTAAGTCGAATAAGTCGAAAAATATTCGAGTTACAAATGAATGCTTATCAAATTCGTGTTTAGCGTTGAATTTCACATAAGATTAATAAAAAATATACGCGGGTACCATTACTAGAACGTCAACCAATTAATTATGATTTTTGAACAAAAACTTTTTTCAGTGTAATTTTTGGAAAATTTTGACAGGATTTTGTTTGATTTTTAATTAATAAATTAATTTTTTTTAATAATAAGGCAAATAATAGTTTTTATTGCATATAATTGTTGTATACCTTGTTTTTCCTATTGTTATCCATTATTAATAATTATTAAATTAAATAAAAGTTTAAAAATCACTCAATGAATGAATGAAACAAAAAGTTTATTTCAACTCAAGTCTAGCGGACATGTGGTATGTGTTGGCACATCACTGCTGTGGAGGAATGCCATCACTGATAGGCACAGATATGACCACAATATATATCATGTTTGCAAACAATGTATACAATTAGCAGATATTGTTATTCACTTATATTCAGCGCTTATACAATGTATTCACACATTGAGTCTCAATTCACTCGTTATTAACATTATTACAAACACTTGTTATACCATTAGTCCAACGATCGTCACATCTGTGGCCACAACTGGACTCAATGCAAATGAATGGCCAATCGGTCTCTTATAGTCTACTCCCGATATGATCAACAGTTAACCAAACAATAGACATGTGTTTGTCATACAATGTATGCAATGATATACTGAACGTAATATATTATGTGTAGTATAGAGGGAGCATAATATTGATTAGGATATATTTTTAAGTTACAAATATTTGCATTACTGCACAGTAACTTATAAAATACTTTTTTTTCAGATATTTTGCGAATAAATGAATTGTCAAATGATTTCAAACAAAGAATACGTTATTTATGAACACAAACAGAAAATCACTGTTTTTTGAACACATTTTGATTTCATTTTGAAATATTTTGCATTCAATTAAGAAATCAAAACAATTAATGATTTAATGCTTTAATTGTCACAAAACTAACACTACTTTCGCTTTAATTGTCATTGAATTGAGAGATAATGTAAGTAACGATCGTTTGACTCAATCATGCGTTCAATCAATCATTCATTTCATTGTTGTCTTCAAAGGTCTCCGCAAACGAAGAATAAATCCAAGAATTCAAAGGACGACAACAAAGACAGCCGAAGACGCAGTTCCAGTGCCAGCAGTGGTTCGTCGCGCAGGTAATGATCACTCATGACATCCAACCGGCAATTGTCACTCTCATTGGTGTCTCATTTATGTCCACCAAAAATAGTAGAAGCGGTTCCAGAAGCAGTTCCAGCGGCTCTTCGCGCTCGTCGTCGAGCTCTGGGTCTTCGCGATCGAGCGCTTCTCACTCCCGATCGCGGTCTCCGTCGCGTTCGAGCAGTTCTTCGCGATCGCGCGACTCATCCCGTCGTCGCCGCCAACGGTCGGCGTCACCGAAACGGGCGGTCCGTAAGCCGTCTCCCACTCCGAAGCCGACGCGCATACATGTCGGACGACTCACCAGAAATGTCACCAAAGATCACGTGATGGAGATCTTCAGCGTTTACGGAACCGTACGAAACGTGGAAATGCCTTTCGATCGCATTCATCCCCATCTGAGCCGTGGCTTCGCTTACGTCGAGTTCGACAAACCCGAAGACGCGGACAAAGCCATCAAATACATGGACGGCGGACAAGTGGACGGCCAAGAGGTGAGCGCCACTCCCGTTCTGGTGCCGAAGCCGCGCCAATTCGCGGGTCCGCCCCCTCAGCGACGTCCGCCGCCACAGAATTGGCGTCAGAATCGTTCGCCCCCTCGAGGAGGAGGTGGCGGAGGAAGGCGTGGCGGAAGGTATGCTTAATCTCATGAGACATGTTATACATTATGTAATGATTAGATTCAACAACAGATCGCCGCCGAGGTATAGGTCGCCTCCGCGCCGACGTTCCCGAAGCAAATCGCGTTCACCGACTCGCAGGCGAAGGGACTCCAGTTCTGACTCTTCGCGTTAAGAGTGCACGAAATGAACGGATTTTTCTCATTCACGCCATTCCTCTCACATCCCAATCCCTTTAATCGCTTATATTATTATGATTTAAACTTTTAATGATTTCTTTTGACAACAAATTAGTGTAAAAAACATTTTAATTTGTGAATTCGTATTAAACATAAGTTTCACCAAAAAATTTTTATAATTAATTTTTATCTAAAAAATGCCCGAATTTATCATGATTTGAATGAAACAAATTGACAACAAATTAGTTTACAATTTATATGTATGAAAGACTATAGTATTATAGCTCATCCTTCGATGCCTTGTCTTCCTCTTTCTCTTCCTCCTCATCCACTTCCTGTCAATTCATTCAAACAATTAATAAGTTTTCAATAATTATTAATTAAAACATAGCGAAGCAATCGATTCTTAAAGTTTGTGATGCATTGGGAGTACAAATAAAGTGCAGGTTTTGCGCTCATTATATCATGCAATCCAATGAATACAAACACTGAAACACTATATAAAATATCTGATTGGATCTAATGTTAACTCAAATTAGATTGTATTTAACTAATGACCTAAATGTATAACGTATTCCCCGAAACATCACTGGCTTTAGAAGTGTATAGAAAAGTCATGCAAAAGCAAAGGACGCGAACCTCTTGTTTGGGATCAGCGCCGGTCTGTCCGCCGCTCTCCACAAACTTTGTGAGACCCTCTAAATTGCGTTCCCCGTTATAGTCCACCACCTGATAGTCATATAAATAATAACAATTAGTGGTCATTCACCTGATCGGGCGCCGCTCTCCCGTATTCGCCGTCAGTCTCTATAAATTGAGTCAAACCCTCGAGAGTTCTCTCGCCGTTATATTCTATTACCTGAACATTGCATTCACGACAAGAAATGCAATTTGAAATTCATTTGAAACAAAAATTAATGTTAAATATATTTTTTTGTTGGCCTAAAAATCATATCTAAAGACTCAATAAATAGTGACAACAAAATCACTGTCGAGAGTGGGAGTGACAGTGGCGTTACCTCATTGGTCTCCTTTTTGAACAGTTTAATGGTGGGAAAGCTGTTGATCTTTGTGTGTTCCAACTCGTTGGCCGTGGCGTCCATTTTGGCGATCACAACGGTTGCCGAGTCCTTGAAATTGTCGCCCAACTGGTCATAGATAGGAACCAATTGTTTGCAGTGTCCACACCACGGCGCGTAGAACTCCACCAATACGTCCTTAGACTTGTCAAACACCACTTCATCGAAGTTAGTGCTCACCAGAGTCTTCACACCAGTCTTGTCCCAGTCTTCGGGCAACTCTTGCGACAGCAGGTGTTGCTGTAAAGTCAATGATTCGGTCGTCAATGAGTGGCATACGGTATACGCCGTCTAAACCACACATACCTTAACTTTGCCGCTGAGGACGCCCTCAACGAATGTCTTAATGGTTTCCTCATCTAAGGCCTTGTTTTCGGGCTTAAATTTAGTCATTTCCTCCTCCAGTTTGATGAGTCTCAGGGACGGCGTCTCGTCCTTCTTGAGGCCGAAGAACTCCATAATCCTTTCGTGATCTTCTTCGTCGGTGTTGATGGTCACGAACAGCACTCTATTCTTGAACTCTTTGGCCACATTTCTGAAGCCCTCGATTATGGTCTCGTAGTCCGAACTCTTACGGCTCGCGAACAACAAATTGTGAGCTTTGATTTCACCGCCGAATATCTTTTGTGCCGTCTTTTAAGGGAATCAATGCATAGTTTTAGTAATTTTTCAATATTTAAATACCAATCAGACAACTGATTCACTAGTGATCAACAAAAAAAATCAATACCTCGTGACTGAAGTCAACGACAAGTGGAAGACTATTGGTTGAGACGAATTTCTTCAGCTTCTCTGGCGTCACCTCTCCGTCGAAGTCATTGCGTTTTTCATCGAAATTTTTGTACAAAACAATGCCGTCTTTGTCGGCGTCCAAAGCCTTGAAGATGTCTTTGTCGGACACAATGGCAAAGGGGTGCTCATCGTTATTGGCCGCCACTTCTAAGTACGTCTTGGCGTCGGCGCTGTCTTTGTCTTCGTAGAAACCGACGACAACAACAGCGGCGCTGTCCCTGAACTTCAACGCCTGCTCTTCGGTGGTCAGCTCCACAGCCGGCGGTCCGGTCTTCTTCTTAAGCCATTTGACTAAGTCTTCGGCCGTTCGGCCGCCGCTATATTCGGAGGGCTTTCCGTTTCGGAAGAATTTAAGTGTCGGATAACCTCTCACTTCAAACTTCTCGGCCAATTCAGACTCTTCAGTCGCGTCCACTTTACCCAACAATATCTCTGATCCCTCTTCGGCCAAAAGAGTGGCCGCTTTGGCGAATTCGGGCGCCAATGCCTTACAGTGTCCACACCAGGGGGCGTCTGAATGGCAGAGGGGGTCACAGGGGGTACAACAGAGGGGAAGAAACAATGAGATAATGGATTCAATTGATGGATAAATAAAACCATTGTTTGACAACGAAATGACAAGAGTTTAATGACATGACATGTCTTCGCATTTTGATAGACTTGTCTATAAGACTGCAATAGAGAGAGAGAGATATCATGGGTTGAGTTGTCGTCTCTGTAATAGACTCTCCTATCAAACGACACTTTTTTTCTATATATCTCTTATCACTAAATAATTAACACATTATTTGTCATTACATTTGAAACAATCATTTTTAAAGACCATAAAAATTAGGCGAAGAAAAAAAGGCGAGAAATAAATGGACACAAAAAGCCATAGAAAATACTCACAAAACTCTATTAAAATGAATGAATTGGTGATCGCGTCGTCGAAATTGTCTTTCGTTAAAACCAATACATTTTCCTCACGTTTGATGTCATCGGCGCCGACCAGACACAGGCTCGCAGACAACGCAAGTGCTATCAATATCTTCATTGCGGATGTGTTGTCAGTGTGTGGATCACTTGTGAGGAGACAATCAAATGGTGAAGTTTTGGGTGAACTCAGCGCTCAGTTTTTTTTCTCTCAACACTGACTTAACCGGCGATTTAAACGCTTCACAACTCGACTGAATGTTATGTTATGTATTGTATGGGAGAGAGAGTGAAGTGAGGCTAACGTGGCATTAGTTGCCATCACTTGCCAGCAGTTGTGCCACACATTCACCACAACCCTCACAACACACACTCACTCTCTCCCATCCCCACTCTCTCTCATACTCTCTCCCATTCTCTCTCCTAATTTCTCTCTCTCTTTCTTTTACAATACAAGAGAGTGTTGTGAGAGGGAGAAGGAGAGGAAGAGAGAGCTGTCACACCTTCAGCGAGACTACTAGTGACCTGACGTCACAAGTATGTGGACTCGTGTTTAACTACTATTGGATTAAAAGTTTTTTTGATTATTTGTTTTAAAAGACCTAAACTATACTCTGTCTGTACGGATAGGCATTGGAAACGCTGGGAAAAGGCTATAAAACAATTAACATTATTTGATGAAAACTGATGATACAATTTATTTTTGCAAATTGTAATTCATTAACAGTATTACAGTATTGTCTGAACTGACAAATAGCGAAATCCAATGACTTATGGCTCGTATTGATAACCAGATGCAAAATATATGTTACTTTACAACAATTCCCAGCCATTCAATCCCTAAACATGTAATTTGATATCTAATTATCGCTAATATTTTATACAATTTATGAACACATCGTTTATAAGTTCAGCTCAAATGTTAGATAAATTAAAGCCAATTCAACCGATTGTCTGAATGTATAGTTTTATCAAATTTAATCAGTTTTTAAATATTTATTCGTCAATGCTTTTAACATTGAGGTATTTTTCAGTCATTGCTTAAAATATCAATTTTATTGGCAATTATTTCATAATTAATAATATTGAATAAAACCGTACGCCTCCCTCACCCCTCCCTCACCCCCTCCTCCCATGACATGAATTTGCAATTATTGTAAAACTTTATATTCATGTTTTAAAATTCAATAATTATAAAGCAATAAAAGTTATGAGACATTGAATTAAAAATAACAATGAAATTGAAGAATATTTCGCTGCAATCATTATAATAATTATTCACTATTTTAAACATGAGTTGTATTTCCTTTTATTTTCATAAAAATATAATCGACTGAATGTTCACATGAAAAATGCTTGCTTTCTTCACATTAAAGCAAACATTAAAAGTCTTACCTTTAAATTAATTAATTTGCACTTTCAATTCCTAAAAGAATCTAGGATCAAACATGTAAAACATTTATTGAAAGAGTAACTTAATTTAGCGTTTGATTATACATTTTGTAATCGTTGCCCTGTTTATCAATTGATTCTTTAGTAGAGAATACCCCAACACTTGACTCACATAATAATTATGTATACAATTATTGTATAACTCACTCGTCTAGGCTTTAAGTGCAGTGTCTCTTGTAATTTAAAATTAAAAGTTTTAATAAAATAGTGTTTATTTATCAGTTACACTAATTCCTATATTATTATATTAAAATTACCTTCTCTTTTCTGAACATAAAACTATATGTATAACAATTACCTCTTATTTACCTATGATATACCGAACTTTGGATATTAAATTCTTAATACAGAATATTCCGTAATTAATCGATATATTAATATTAGTATTACCTAAACGGCAACTGAATAGAAATATTGCTTTAAAAATTAATCGCTAATTGGATTGAAGGTTAACTCAATAATTAGAGGACAATGTCATGAAAACGTGGAGAACAGGTGTATAGCCTATAGGACGGGATGTTTCGATATAACATCAATTGTTAGCCAAACAATATAACCATTGAATATAAAAGCCAATAAAAATATGTTTCATTATTGAAAAAACATTGTTTATTATATCAACTAATAGACGACTAGTTTTTATTTATAATAAAAAGCTATGGTTTGATTGTTATTCAAAAAGTTTGTTGTTTTTTTTTGTAATTATTAGATACATATGTGTTATAAATTTTTTCCGTTTAAATATTTGCTTTAAAACATCGTTTAATTTATAATAAACTGACGATTCTTTTAGTGTTAGTTTTGTTTTCGTATTTTTTCGACAGCAAAACAATTACAATAACTGTTGTATTGAAATATTGGCACAGAATATGTGCAAAAAGAGTTATAATAAGTAGATTTAACTTTACATTTTCTCTTCACAGAAGTGTTCAATTGGTTTTTACATATCATTTCATTGTAATAAAACAAAACCACAAACAAAAATATATTTACAAATGTTTTTTAAATTACATTAAAAAGACATTAATTTTCTTCGATACAAATTATTTGTGAAATTAATTGATATAAAAATTTTTAAGTCATAGCAGCGGATGTTTCGCCAGCGGATGAACTGGTTTTTGCTTTTTTCTTTAAATTAAAATAATATCAAATAATTAATGTTAAAATGCTTTTAAAATTTATAGACTACTAGTAAATACAGACCTTATGTTTGGGACATAATAGTGAAAAGTTTTCGTCATCTAATTCACAGCCTTTTTCTTTTGCACACAAATAGTGAAATTGAGAGGTATTGCAGCTCTTCTGAAGGCATCCCAACGTCGCGCCCGAGAGCTTACACTTTGTGCAAAACTGTTATCAAATAATTCATTAGATTCAGAGCTATTCATATTATTAATAGTTTACATACACTTTCATTGGATTCGCTGATGACTTCTTCGAGATGTCTAACCCGATGTCCAATCAAATAGACACCACTGGACCACACAATGCAGTCTTCGTGGACCCACACCTCGGTATTGGTGCTGCTGTCCGAGTGATTGGGCGATGAAATGACGGGTTTAGGCGTTTCAATGCGACTCTTTGGCGGTCGTCCTCTGTGTGGGATAACGGCGTTGTGAGCGGTGGCCGTGTCTTCGGTCGCCTCAGACTTACGTCTTCGGCCTCTCTTTCGTTCAGATTCTTGAGGCGTGGGTTCGTTAGAGGCGACCGAATCGATCACATCATCGATAGAAGCGGAACGAGAACTGTGTGCCAGGGGTTGAGATGTGGTTGCGGTCGAAGCGCTCGATTGGGTCTTTGTTTTGTCCTCTTTTGATATATAATAAGGTCCGTAGAGATCACCCAATCCTTTATAATGAGGTCCTTTATGACAGAGCGCGCAAACCCAGGTCTTGTCGCGGGTATTGAAGTCATATTGAGGCGATAGAGTGGACACTACTTTCTTAGAGCTGACCAGAAGTGAAGGCCTTCGCATCGGTTTAAGCGGTTCTAATTTACCCGAAAGGGACTTATTTTTGACATCCTTTTCGTCTTCCGGTTTGGCGGAAGTGTTGACAATTGAGTAAACGGTCGACACTTTTCCCTTTCCTTTTTCCAATCGGATAAAAGGGCCGACAGTTTTCTTCCGCTTCGAGACCTGTTTCAATGGGTTAACGACTGCCAACTCGTCGAAGCCGTGCGGATCGAGTGTCACATTCGTATTGATACCGATCTCTTCGGTTGCGACCGCTTTCTTCTTCTTCTTCGTCGAGTTGGAAGCGTCGGAAGTGTTTGTCTCACTATTCGTGTCGTCACTATTCCTACGATTTTTGCTACCGAAAGGTCGGCCGCGCTTTTTGGTGGTCGACGTCTGTCTCATGTTGTTTGGAGACGCGAAGTCTCGTTGCGATGAAGAGTTTTGCGACGACGGTGTAGACGCGCCCCACGACCCCGAACCGCACCGTCGGGTGCCGTCCGACGGCTGTTGTGTGTGATAGTCGGGATGCGGACCAGAATTGGGCACAACGTGTCTGCCGTCCGACATATAGTCACTCGTTTGAGGCACTGATGAGGGATGTCCTGAGTTTTGGGGCCATTGTGGCCAAGCATTCTTGTCCGACTGATTGCTATAGTAATGGTTCCCCATTTGCCAGTTCTGATGGGCTCGAGTGTCACCATAATTGGAGTGATTCTTCTCGGAGTCCGACGATTGGATTGATTCTTGAGATGAAGAACGTTTGCAAAGGGCTGGCGGTTCGTCCGCTACAATGCAATCACTTTTAGTTGTATTCATCTCTTTCTTGAGTGTCTGGTTCTCGCCGTTCACTACAACTCCCGCATTGAGCGTATCGTTGCTTTTGTTGGCCATCTGTCTGAGAGTCCCTTTGGAATCGTCTTCGCCGATAAGCATGAGATCATTACTACTATTATTATTATCAATGTTATGGTTATTACACTTAATATCATTTTTGTCACATTTGTTAAGCTCTTTATCACTTCCACACAACTGTCCATCACTTGTGGCGGTGTCTGGAATGTTGTCATAGGATAGGTTGGGGTTTGCGTTGGGCGGGGGAGGAGGGGGTCGGGGAGGCGTACATAACCTGTTTTGATCCAAATTATAATAAGTAGGATATGGACTGTCGGGATCTGTGGTCACATTCTGGTCGCTATTGTTATAGTTCTTTTGAGTGGCGTTTGTATTGAAGGGAACGGAACCGTTGCTCTGAAGTGTATTGTCGTATGTGTTGCGAACGGCCGCGCCTTCGGTGTCACTCATAACCATCTTCTGCAATGAGTGCAACGGATTGGAAGCATTCACTTGACTAGTCCTCTGGTTTTGAGGGCCGAATCCATTGTCGGTCTTTAGAACCATTGGTTGCGACGAAGAGTCGTTGGCCACCGAGGAATGCGATGGCGAGTATTGTCGCGACGGCATATGACTCGGCGACCGGTGTGTCTGCGGCGATGGTGTAGTGCTCGGGGAGTGCATCACATTCGGCGATCGGGACCAGTCTTGAGGCGATTGCGACGACGACCGCGACTGTGCGGCTGCTGTCGCGCCATAGCTATTGCCGGTGCGGTCGGTGGGCGGCGATCGCAGACCCGTTCGGGACACGAGTGGCGGCGGAGGTATTCCCTGATTATAAGAATTGTGCGAATTTTGTGACATTTGGTCTGAATTCCAATACTTTAGATCAGATGAAGGAATGGGCGGTCGTATGGCTGGAGGAAGAGCTGCGTATGGACTGCAAGTGGTGTACATATCATTGAAATGGTTCACTGGTTGGCCATAACTGTGGCCAGAATTGGATGAGTTGTTTGCGTAATGAGTGGCCGACGGAGTGCTGGATGTGTTGTAATGGCTTTGTTCACAATAATTGCTTTCATGCGAGCCGTCAGATGAATGATATGTTAGATAATTAGTGGACACCCCGTGTGTGGACTGCAATCACAACAAACACAACACGTGATTAGTTAACCAAATCAAACAATTAGTGGTTATATCTTCGGGTACTCACGAGGACGTGGTTCTCATAGTTCCTGTTGGCATAGCTATCGTTGCTCACCACCGATGGTCCTAATTATGCAATCAAATCAATCAAATCGCGGATCAAATGAGTGTTTCAAACAAAACACAAACAAAAAACTTATTAAAAACAAAGAAAGTTAACGAAAGAGTCTTAAAGTGAATATGAATTGGCCTTCAATTCAAATGCGTTAATAAATGCTTTATTTCTTATGTTATAAATAAGTTTAACATTCAATGCATGCAAACAAACGTTGAAAACATTTATAACGTTATCGTTATATCATTCATGAAATGTGTTTTTCAATGTGTAAACCAAAAAAGTTATTCAAAATTATTGTTATAATCACTGTTTGTATTAGTTTTTGCAAACAAAAGGCCACAAAACACAGACACCGATAGTAATAATGTGTGTCACAAATCACTAATTGACAAATCAATTAATTGCAGCCAATATTTAACACATAATTAATAACCAAATGATAGGCTTTTTGATGAAATGTGTGAACAAAAGGTGTTTTTTGAATGACTTTTTGTGTTGAAAAGTAGTGATGAAAAGTGCATTAGAAATGCCATTCAAATCAAATGCAATGCATTGTCAATACAACACACAAATTGAATAACACATGGCTTATCATATCATACCCTGATATGGAGGCCCCGGACTCTGCATAATTGTAGCGCAGTTTTTGTAATCAACTTTTTTCTACTTTACTATGGCTTTGGTTTACAGTCTCTTCACATGAATTGCACTGAAAATTGATATAAAATTACACTTTTGTTAGTCATTTGTATTAATTATGATTGTTATTAATCATATCTATTAATGTTTGGCTCACTTTTCTGTAAACATTTAGTATTTAATAATTTCTCTTTACTATAAAAGCCAACAATTATTGTAATAATTATGACTTTTATTTGATTATACATTAGAATTGTTATACAAATTATAAATTATGCAAAAATACTTAACAATTATGGTTTAAATATTAACGTGCTAATTTTTTATTAGCAGACAAATTATAGACCTACATTACACACGTGCTATTCATATTTGTTATCCAGATTTGTTCCCTAAATTTATTAATCAGTAAATTTCATGTAAATTAATTTTTAACATATATTTTCATTGAACAGTTTTGGTGAATATGTGATTCACATTCAATATTATATCCACAAAATTATCTCAATTTCCAATGAATTTCCAATCACTGAATTATTTTACAAAAATATATCTTTATTAAAGATTCTTTAATAGTATTAAATTAATACCAATTATATCGTTAAAATCTCTCTCTCTCTCTCTCAGCTCTGGTTTTATTGGTTGACAATCGGATTAACAGTTATTCTGGAATCAAATTAGGTTTGTTATTATCTCTCTCTCTCTCTCTCTCTCTCTCTCTCTCGCCAATAAATGATATACAGAAATTACCGTATATAGTAATTTATTTTATTTAATTACAGTAGATCATTAACTTATATAAGTTAATTCAAAATATACGAGAAAATTATGTTACCAACTATGGTTACTATTGTATAGGTATGTGGATAATGCTTTTCCTATTGACGATTCTACTACTATACAACATTTAGTTAAAAATAAAAATCCCATAAATTGTGATTACTGTTAAGTTTTACAATTTGTCCGTTTATTTTATTTTCTAGACTAAAATTGAATCAATTTGATTGCAATGCAATAAATCAATTAGAAATTAATGTTCATTGTAAACACTTGTTGGTCATGTTAGAAACCTATTGAACCCGTGGAACATAATTCACCATGATCATTAATCGTACCATTTACCATAATATTTTAGCTACCAATAATGTTGTATATCTATGCACACGTATAGTAGCAATAAATTAAAGGAACGTATGATTTAGTGCTAAAACAGTTAATTATTTCCTGCTTTTTAAACGCGAAACAATTTTATAATAATTATAATAAAGTCAATCCAATTGAAGCAATCGTGTGATTATCTACTTTACAACATAATAATGACAATTGTCTGCAACTTTACAACTAATCGATACAATGATGTTATCTTGATTTCAAATATGAAATTTGTATTATGAATGAAATGAATAATAAATGTTTGCGTTTGTAATGAATTATTCAAAAAACTTTTAGCGCAAAACTTTTGCGATATAAATAAAAATAGACGTGTTATTAATGATCTAATGAATGGGTTTAGGGTTTATGTTATGCGGTATGTATTGAATGGTTTGATTAAATACATGTCAATAAAAACAAGTGAATGTAATACTCGTTAAAATGAAGTTAAAGAATATTGAAAATGAATTGAAATGAAAGACATTATTGGAGAGACTGTTAGAGCTTAAGGTATTGCTATTGTGAGCAAAACTGGGCATCGATTTTATGCTGTGCCTGACATGAGTAGATGGGATGCGGAGACAACTCCCCAACCAATACATCACAACTAACTGTTAGACTATAGGAATAGCTGTGGAGAGAGAGAGAGAGAGAGATGTTTTGGCAAATAGTTTATTAGGGAAAGAGGAAGAGAGAGAGATGGAGAAGAAGCCAATGAATAACGAGTTAAAGGGTATAACAGAT